CTTTTTACGTTAAAAATAAAAGAGATAAAAACCAACATGAAAAGTAAATAAATCCTAAAAATAAGGAAGGTGGTTCAGTGGTAATAGGGAAGATAGTGCTTTTGAATTTCAAGCGACTTCGTATAACTCAATAAAAATCTGATTCTTTTCATCCCAATTCCACGCAGTATATATTGCGTATATATTCAGTATATAAACTAATTAATATATCCGAAAAAACATGTATTATCTTCGTCTTGAAACTGGTTTATGTATATATGTAGTATATTTTATGGGTTTTTATCCGATCTGATGTTTCTATATATATATATATATTGGGGTTTATATAAGTATACATAACATATACCGAACATATACAGAACATATACTATTTTCTGGAATTATATATATATATACCGAACATATACCGAACATATACAGAACATATACTGAAAATAATTTCAGATCCAGGCGAGTTGTTCATAATTCTCATGAATTTCATTCCAATTTCGATTTTCATTCCAATTTCCCAAAAAATAATACATTTTGGTCGAGCGTGAAAACAAAAATTATCTAACTTGAACAACTGATGAGGGGAAACGGGTAAAGGCTCCGGTTCTCGGCTTCTCGCTCGCCTCGCTGTCTGCTCGCGTGAACTCGCGCCTGCTCGACACTCGGCTCGCCACGGGTTTGGCCTGCTACACCCGCGTATGACTGCTGTTGAAGAAGCGGCGACTATACGGCCCGATGATGGTACCCCAGTTGGCTGCTGTGCGACGGCCAGGGTTGGCGGCCGCTCGCAACTTGCTGGCGAAGAAAGACACGACGACGGGGGGAATTATGGACGACTGAAGGGGCTGAGAAAATCTTTTCTCTGAAATCTGATGTTCGATTACAAGAGTCAAAAAAATTCTGATGTGATTTGTTCAAAAAAATATGATATAATTATTTTTGTGGCATATCTGCAAATAAAAAGTACAATTTGTTTAATATTCCTATTATTTATATATTGATATTAATTGTGTAATAAAAAGTATAATGTATGGTGTTTCGAGTACTTTTCTTTTTCTTTCTTTCTTTTCTATTTAATATCTTTGTCATTAAGTTAAATATGTAAACATAGCACAACAAAATAAATTAAAGAGATGGAAACAAAATAAAGCACAATGGCAAAAGTCAAAAGATATGGGAGAATTTAAAAAAGAAAAAGACTTAAAAAAAACCTTAAAAATAGAGTCCTCAAAATTGAAAACACTCTTTTGATAATTAATTAATCCTAACTAATCACAATTATTAAACAAATGAAAAGCAACAACAGTCCTCTTTAGTGGCTATTAATGCACTTTGAGCGAGCTTTATTGCGCCTCACCACATTAATTATAAGTAAAAATGTAAAATAAAAACCGCAACCCAATTTAGGACAATCTGTTAATTAACCCTAGATTAGTGATTAATTGTTTCCATAATCTCTTATCAGTTATATCATCACTTATGATTTGCCTTATAAAATTTCACTTAAGTCGGATTTGTCTTCGCAGTATAATACACCATATTTAATGGAGGATTCGACTCTACCTGTCCACATTGTTGTTTTATCCGATCAACTTGCAAACACTTATGCAGGTGTGTGTTGATTTGACGGTTCTGATTTGCATATGATAATCCATTTGCTAGGGTTGGCCTAGAGTTTGACATAATGTACGCTAAAATTTGGGAATAAAACATTTGGTTTTGTGGGGTAAGTTGGTTGAAATTGAGTGACATATTACTGTTTCTAATTTATAAAGAACTATAGACAAATGCGGATAATGAAAATAATGCAAAAATTGCTAGTATATACATATATAATTAATTATGTGATATTTGTATATATTATATAAAAATTATAGAATATGAGATATGAGGCAATATTCTAAAACCAATAAATCCACACACATTTAAAATTATCTAAATAGAGGTAATTAATATGGGATATGGCATGTATCAGTTACCCAATAAAAAAAATATCAATAAAAAAAAAGACATTTTACAACATAAATAAGCATTTTTGTTAAATAATAAAAAACTCTTATAATTCTTAATTTATGCAATTATGCAAAATCTCTTATAATTCTTAATTTGTGTAATTATGCAAAGATACAAAGCAATAAAACCAAGGCACTTTTTCAGACAAATCTCATAAGCCAAAACTCAAATCTCATTGGTGGATAATTTAATTAATTTAAGTTTGCCCCCACTAAAACTTTATGAAAGCTAGTGAAGATGATAGTTGTTAAAACCTGTTTGGTTCTTTGCCTTTGTGATGAATTTGATTATACTTACAATCCTTTTTTTTTTTTT